TGGGCAAGTTTGGACAACACTGGTCTATAGCTTTGTAGAAATTTTTAGAATGGTTGAAAAATTGAGCAAACAGGTTGGCTACAGCGGTGAAAAAGTTACCCCTACTAAATTGCTAGGGTCTTTTTATTTTGTTATTTTGTTATTTTACTTTATACCCCACCTCTCCTTCAAAGAGCTGCACATTGGGTACCTAGTTCTCTTTTGGTCACACAACAGCCCTGTGAGGTAGGTTAGACTGAGTGACAGCAATGGAACCAATGCTTTTCTTTTGTTTGCTTGGGTAATATAACTTAAAAATTAATTAGATTATCTGTTGGATGGGTGTATATTATCATACTTATAAATTTGGTTTTGTTCATTGTTTCCTGCATATTTTTTTAAAGGCAATATAAATAAAAATAAAAAAGCAATGGAACCAAAGATTCCCAGGTGAGTTAATCCTGGCTTGGTCATAGCCCTGGTTATAGCCCAGAGCTCCTGTTACATTACTTCCCTAATCTCTCACCCTCTAGATGTGTGGAATTAGGTACGTTGCTGGCACTGGATAAGGTTGATGCAAAATATTTGGAGAAATTGCACAATTCTGTCTCTTTCTACATTTTTAGCTCTTTCTTGGGATTGTACTGATTGCTATTGCTTTGTTGGTATGCTTCACTATTATCACTGGAACATCCTGGATTTTCCAGTAACATCACAGCATCCCTGGAAGGTGGTGAGGACGCGCTGCAGCCCCCAATTTTCCCAATGTCATCCACCTCTGGCTTATTGTGACGGGGAGCCCAGCCAGAAAGTTGGCCTAGGGAGGGAAGAATTAGGCACGCCACCGGATCTCTTTGGAGAAGAGTTGGCTATAAAAGCAATTAACTACTCCTTTAATCATCATCTTTAGGAATGTTTATGCCAAAATTGTCTGGTTACTCGAGGGCAGAATTCCATCCAGGAACACTTGTAGGTCTGAACTCTAGGACAGCCTTCCCCAGCCAAGGGCTTTCCAGATATGCTGGGACATCAACTCCTAGGATATCAGCTAGTATTCTGGAGCTAGTCGTTCCATACATCGAAAGGGCACCCAACCTGGAAAGGCTGGGTTGTTGCTGCTAAATGTAGCAATGAGGACTGGAAGCTTGTGTGGTAAAAATCCAGCTAGACTGGAACAGGCAGAAGCTGAAAGTGGGCGTGAATGGCAGAATCTGGCTCAAAGCCAATGGGATACAGAGATCAGCAGATCTGGAAGCAAACATGTCAAAACAAGCAGGATGTGTTTCCTTCAGTAAGTTGTTAGCTTAGAGAAAGAGTCCAAGGGTTCTCCGGAGTGTGAAACATACCCCACCATTCTGGAATAGTTTTATCTGGTCCTTTTTCTGAGAAATAAAAGTTTCGCTGCTGGGCTAAAACTGGGGAAAGAGAAGCCACCCTTTCATTTTCTGGTGCCTTCGAGTCAATCTGGCAACTTCACGGACAGGTCCATGTGGTTTTCTTGGCAACTTTGCAAAGTGGTTTGCCGTTATCTTCTTCTGGGACACATGGGGTCGAAAGAGAGCGACTGGCTCAAAATCATCCAGGTGACTCTGTGCCCAGCAGAGGACCAGAACTTGCAGCTCCCTACCCAGTCCACCGCCTTAACCGCTATACCAGGCTGGCTCTCAGGCTAGATCAGCTGCCTCAGGGTTTCCATAAGGGCTACGCTGAAAAGCCACAGCAAAGCCATAATTAAAACAAAAAAATGAGACAGCCTACCCGGCCACCTCCTGTGTATTCATCAGTATTTCAAATGCAGAGATATACTGCCTCTGCCCATGGAAGCTTTGAAATAATCATGGCTTATAGCTATTATCAGAACTGGTCCCTCAAATCAAAGGACAAAGATCCATCTAACTCAGTTATCCCCAACCATGTGCTCTCTGGCTATGTTGGATTACAACTCTCTGAATGCCTAGTCAGCATGAATTTGGAATTATGGGAGTTGTAGTCCCAATTCGTCTGGAACCCACAGACTACGGAAGGGTAAAATGGACCAGCCAGCTACTATGGGGAGCATTGTTGAGCATTATTTGTTTCCAAGATAGCAAGAACAAAGCATTGGGCAACATTTTCCCCATCCCCACATTGTTTGCCCAGCTTCCAGCATTGGTATTCAGAGGTATACTATGCCTAAATATGGAGGTTCTGTTTAGTGACCTTGATATAATTGATATTAACCCTTTGTATGAATAT